TCTCTCTCTGTCTCTCCGGTGAGTGCATGCACCCTATAGCAAATATATCTCTAATAAATAAATAAATAACATTTAAAAAATTAAGTGTAGGGGTCAGAAAGTGTGTAGGTTAGGGTGCTGGATTCCACCTGCCAACTTTGTGGTTTAAGTCCTGGACCCATGGCTTGGGAATCACACGGGATGTTTATACATGCATACCCGAAATCCCAAGTAGAGAGTAGAGGAGAAGAGATTGTGGCATGGCCATCCCCCCTTGGGGGGGGGGTTCTCACTTTCTCTCTGTCTGTCCCTCTGGTGAGCACATGTACCCTATAGCAAAAACAGAAAAAAGAATTAATGTAATTTACACATAATTTCTCAAATTAACTATTGTAAAATTTTAAAAAATGTTATTGTAAAAAATCTACATTCTACTATCAGCCCAAAATTCTGCAATGATATTTCTACTGACAGGATAATTAATCAATGTAAAATTTGTCCATTAGTCATCTTTTCAAGTTGAATTTGATCATGTTCATTGTTTTAAATAGAGGCTTTCATTAGAGTAGCATAAATATGAGTCAGGTACTTCATTTGTCATAAAGTGTCATAGATATGAGCTAGCTTATCTTAAAATATTTCATAATTATAAAGGAACCAAAATGACAAATTGTCCACTTTAAAATGAAAACATTTTAATCTATAATTTTTACTTTAAAAAAAAGTTACCTATGTATAAGTAAAAGGTTTCTTCAATTTGAAAACTTAACCAAGTTCTACTTCATCTTAGCATAAGCTTTATGTGGTAAAAGTAATGAAAGAAAACGTTTCTTTATTGAGTAATTTATCATACATTCATAGTAACTAAGACTGTATTCGTTAAATGGACCAAAATTGCCTCTTGCTTTAAATAACTCTTCTGTAGAGTAATCCCTAACCAGAAGTGTGGCTTTTGTCTGGTTGAAATACAGAAAGTTAAATTTATTGCAATATATATATATATATATATATACATACATACATACATACACACACACACACACACACATATATACACACACACACACACATACATACATACATACTGCTCAAAATACTTCAGTTGAAGGACATGTAAATGTTTATATGGTCTTTTATTCAAAATTTGTAGAATTTTCTTTTGTTTGTTTTGTTTTGTTGTAGAGAGACACAGAGGGAGAGAAAGTGAGAAATCACCCCCCAGGGCAGATGGTCATTCCATAGTCCCTTCTCCATTCTTCTCTCAGAGCTTTGGACATGCATGCACACACACGTGCGCAGCATGTTTTTCAAGCCCGCAGGTCCAGAACTGGAACCATGCAGTGGACCATATGGAATCCAGTGCCCTAACCACCACACCATTGGCTGGCTCAAAAATTTGTACAATTTTTCTTACATTCAACAATTATTGTGGGAAAATTGTTATTTGAATTAAGAATGTTTTGGAAGATAGGATATGCACATTCACTCTTGTTAACTTGAATTAATCCTAAATCTTAAAGCATATTTGTATGTATGTTTAGAATATAGAAATCTATTAATACTGCCTCAAGATTCCATCCCATGTGGTCATGGATCTGAACCAATAATCCTGAAATGCGGTATCTCTGAGCATTCTCTTTGCTTCTCATTGGAAAACCATCACTTTAGGATCCCAGTGAAGTTCATTGAATCATAACTGTGGTGCTAACAAGAATCACTGTTCAGTCGGGACAGTTCTGTCTCTGAAGAACTGGCTCCAGAGCAGTAACCTAGGGTTCTGTAACTTACTTTACAGAGTACCACATGTTTTCTAGCAAAGGCGCGTTTAAAGTAAACCAGTGCCTGTCTTTTGGATTATTTTCCATTGGTTAAAATGGTTCTTGGATGCTGATTTATTACTCATTGACGATCATCTCTTATCATCCACAACATTGTGATCATAGCCCCTTTAGCCCCACAGGCTGGGAAAGAGATGGCGGTATTGGTGATGGGTAATCAAATCAATAGATAACTCAAACATTATTTATTCTTGACTTACAAATTATTGCTAAGCGTTGAGCAGCAATTTTTTCTGTAATGAAATTTAAGATACACAAAATATGTTCATTAAAAGCAAGCTTGTGCCAGATATTTATAGGTTTTATGCAAAGCAAAACAAATAGACAAATGATGAAATATACTTAGGAAACACCAAGTAGACGAACACTGAAGTTAAGCAAGTTGTCTTATTGCAGAGCTTATCAGAGCTTTAATACTGATGCATATTGTATGGTTCAGTGAAAGCAGGAAATTAGCAAGAATGCTTCCCCCATTTATTTTAACATGGTATCTCCTTTTTTAGGGAACTTAATGATGTTGGTCTAAGTAACAAACCCACACAAAAATTGGTTTTCATCTTTTGGATGTACTTGCAGACAATTCAAGGAAGATGGTTTATAAACAGGGAGAAAAGACTGCTTAAGATGAGGACAGCACAAGCCATATATTTGAATTGACCGAAGAGTCAAAACTTGATTGTATATTTTTATACTGAATAGTCTGAAAGAGACTCCATTTTTTTTCTGTGAAAAAATTTGTTTAGCCAAAAAATAGAAAAGTCTTTAAATATGGAAACTTGATAGCGGTGAGAAAGCATGCTATGGAGGGATGGCCATGCCACGATTCCTTTTCCTCCATTCTCCTCTCAGGATTTTGGGCACATGTGCACATGAGCCTGGTGTGTTTCTCAAGACACTGGATTCGGGACTTGAACTGCACAGTCCGCCATGCAGGATCCAGCCACCTTAAACAGCATGCCACCAGCTGGCCTTATGCTGTATATACCTTTTATTGAAATAGAAGGTGTAACAAGTGTTACTTACTGGCTTCTAAAAGCAATAGCTCCCTAATCAGTCATTACAACCAAGAATATGACGTATTCTGAGACCGACTACAACACTCTATTCACAGAAGGGAGGAGGTTCTAGAAGAAAAGGCACAGCACAGGAAGTCAGTTCTTTCTGAGGTGAGAATGTTTGTTTTAAATTAAAAACACAGGTTACTCTCCACTTTCCACCTACTGTCACCTCTTCTGAAGGCCTTCAAAAAGAAGAATGGTTCTCTAGAATCCCCAGATCCTTCAATAACAGAGAGGTTCTTCTTTTTCCTTCTTTCCTCTTTTTTTTTTTTTTTTGCTTTAGGCTTTGTTTTCTAAATATGAAATTTATTTTGAAATACACCTTACTTTCCTATGGAATTAAGAAGTAAAATAATGGTCTAGGCACCCTCTGGCAATTAAAAAATATATATACACACGTGTATATATATGTATGTGTGTGTAAATATATGTATAGATATAGATATAGATGCATAACCAGAGGCCAGCACATATTTACAACTGTGATTTCAGAAAAATAGCAAAAATACATAAAAATTACGGATTTGTTTGCATTCAGCATTAGAGTAGGACTTACAGCACTGAGGCACAATTTATTAACGCACATACATTTTCAAGTCTACGTTGCAGCAGCTTTTATAAGACTGATTCTCAGGACAAGCAGACTGTATAGTGGTTATGTCCGTGGACTCCCACATGACTGACTGCTTTTCGAGTCCTGGACCCAGTGACTTGAAACTCAAACTGGGCACGTGTGCGTGAGTGCGCAAGATTCTGGGAGGAGGATGGCGGAGAACGGATTGTGGCATGGCCATCCTTTCAGAGGGTATTTTCTCACTTTCTGTTTCTCTCTCTGTCTTTCTGGCGAATGCACACGTCCTATAGCAAACATCTCTCTCTTAAAAAAAAAAAAGAAAGACTGATTCTCAGATCTTTAACATGATTTTTGTGTACATATAGGTCATATGCCAATTTAGAAGGAAAAAAACCTACGAGGGTTCAAATAATAACTTTTAATGAAAGAGAGGACTAGCATTTATTTATTTTCAGCAAGAAAAAAATACTCCTATTAAAGAAGCACAGAAATCTCATCAATCTTAACATCGCTAGAAACGTGTATCGCTACAAACATTGTTAGAAATCATACGAAGCTTGTAGGGCCATCCTAATCATCATTTCTTATATCTATCAGCCTGATTATTACTTTTCTTCAGGCTGAAAATACTTTGGTATGTTCATATCCTCTCTGTTTTCTTCATCTACCATTATCTTTTGCCATGGTTAAGAAACACTGCTTTCTCTGGAATCTCTTAAAGACTTTTCAAATCTCTAGTGAAAAAGTACTTTGATGATACCACATACTCCTTTCTTCCAGAAGAACTGAGCGTATTACTGATAGGTCTTATCCTGTCTCCCATCTCACACAAAGTCTTCTGTTTCAACCACATAGGAAGTCAATTTCTCACATGTTCTAAATTTGGGGGAAGATGTTATACTCATCCGCGCGGACATCCTTTAAAATACTTATTTTAGTAGTTAAATTATTTTTTACAATTAGATTCGATGGCTAATCATAGTTTTAAGGAAAAATAGGAAATAAATGTCACAATTCTGGTCTTGAAAAGATGGGCCAGGAGATCTCTTTTTTAATGCAGTTTCTGATGTTTGTCTCTCCTTAAAGAACACTTTGAAGATGTATATAATAACTTGTACGCTCTGGCCTGTTACTTCAATAATTCCGAAGACAAGTGGGTAAGGAACCACTTCTACCAACGGTGTTTTAAGATTGCTCAACTGATCCAAATCGACGGTGGAAAGAAAGAAGCTGAGGCTCATGGGCACATGGGGCTTCTCTACGAGGAAGATGGTAAGTAGCCAAGAGGCCAGCGGTGGTTGGTGGGCTTTGGTGCACCCTGAAAGCAGGCAGCCAGAAGGCACATGGAGGTGGAGAAAAAGACATGAAGTTTCAGTGTAAGGGCGTAACTTACTAAGATCAGAAAGCAAAGGCGTGTGACTTGTGGACTCGGTTCCAGTATTTCTCACAGAATATTCCTTGCAGAATTCCTTGCTCAGGCACCTCCCCTCACCCAACATCACCTCTGAAACAGAAATAGACCTCTCCCAACCCCCCTCTACCACATCCCTCAGGCCACATGCTGTGCCGTTTTGAATCTGTTTTCTCTCGTGACAGCCTTCTTTGTTCATTTTAACTTGACTTCTCATGTATGAACATGTTAGAGAAAAAGGAAGAGTATACTTCATAATTTTTCCTAAGTGCCCACATCCTCTCTATAAAAACCACCAAGACCTTTGTATGACTCAGATACTACCCCATCATGAGTCTATAGTAATTTCTGAAGGAAACATTCCTCTAAATATAATTCCACATTTAAAATGTTCTCTTAAGACAAGCCAAAGTGTCAAATAGCTGCGAATTATCAGGAAGAGATTTTGCATGGTGGTTGATCAAGGATCGCAAATAGGCATTTAAGAATTAAACTTATTTATGGAAGGGTAGCGTGTAAGTAATATGCACAGAAAACATAGGGGAAGAGGAATGTTATCATGAATAATACAGTTTCTTCCCTCAATAAACTATCTCATTTTCCACAGAAGCCTTGACTTTGGCAAAACAATGAACTTTAAAACATTTATTACTTTGTGGTGATGCCTGTATAGGACTTTTAGAAATGAAAAGGACAAAAAATAAATAAATAAATAAAGGTTAAGAGCTTTAGGAAGTTGCATTTAATGAGATTGTAACCTTATAAAGCATGTTAGGCCCTAGAACATGGTCAGACACAAGGAAGGCCAGAAGAGCTCATACCTGAAAGATCATACAGACGGGATTCCAGGAAGGCCTGATGGAATCAATAGGGACTGACAGGGCTTGGAAGATGGGGGAATGTTGACCAGTAAAGAAATAGGAATATATCTCATGGGCAAAAGCAACATACACGAAAGCATAATTAGAGGAACTGATAGAAGGAACCACCTGCATAAAGTGGAAAGTGTTATTTCTGAGCAGTGTGGGAAATCATAAGGAAAGGTAAAACAGGGCATGCCACATCAAAACTAGACTTAAGAGCTTGAAAAACATGCTGGACACGTGTGTGTGTTTGTGTGCATGTGTGCATGCTCAAATAAATCCCAAGAAGGTGGAGAGATGGAGAAGGGATTGCAGCATGACCACATACCTTTGTGGGGGGTGCTTTTTCTCTTTTTCTCTTTTTCTCTCTTTCTGACATACCTTTGTGGGGGGTGCTGTTTCTCTTTTTCTCTTTTTCTGTCTTTCTCTTTGGCCAGTACATATGCCCTCTGTCAAATGGTTCTCTGGCCAGTACATATGCCCTCTGTCAAATGGTTTAAAAAAGAAAAAGAGGGACCAGTAGGTGGCATGATGGTTATGGCACTGGACTTTCACATGGCTGACTGCAGTTCAAGTCCCAGACCTGCTGGCTTGAAAATCATGTTAGACACGTGTGCATGCATGCCCAAGATCCCAGGAAGAGAATGGAGGAGAAAGGATTGTGGTGTGTCCATCCTCTCTGGGTGTGTGTATGTGTGTGTGTGTGTGTGTCTGTCTGTCTGTCTGACGAGCGCACACGCCCTATAGCAAAAACCTCTCCAAAAAAAATTTAAAAATAAAAATAAATAAGAGAGAGGAAAAAAGAAAGTAGACTTAAGTTTCTATACCTTCATGGCAAGGGAAGAAGTGTGATTAGCAAAAGTTTGTCAACTTTCAAACTGTGAAAAGAGGGAAAATAGGAAAGAGGAGGAGGATAGAAAGCCGCTACAGGAACTTAACTCAGAAGAAACATCGAAAGGTATTTAAAATAATGTATTTAATTATTCCATTGCAATACTATTTATAATGCCCCCAAACAGAGGGTTAGTCAAATGTTTCCAGCAACATCCATGCCACAGAGCTCTATGCAGTCACAAAATTACAGATCGGAGTGAAGATCATTCATTTATTTGACAAATATTGACTTAGGACCGAGTGCCAGAGGATAAAACAGTGAATGAGACAAAGTCCCTGGCCTCCTGGAATTCATGTGCTCCTGGGAAAACAGACCTTAACAATGAATAGTTACATGCCATAATATGAAGCAGAGGTAAACGCTGTGATAAATAATAATGTAGAGCCAGGGAACAGATAGTGGTTGTGACTTTATGTGACAGGCTCACCTGTCAGGAAGTGAGACACGAGCAAAGTAAGGGAGTGGGCCCTCTGCAGGTCTGAAGAAAGGAGTTCCAGAGGTAGGACATGGTAAGTGCAAAGGCCCTGAGGTGAGTGCATGCTGAGCACGCCCAGTGACCATCAAGATGGCCAGCCAGTGTGGCCTGGACCTGGTGAGTAGATGGGAAGTGGGAGGAGCTGAAGTTAGATAAGGAGAGATGTGGGATTGACTACACCGAGGCTTCTAGGTCAAGCTGAAGACTTTGGATCTTATTTCAATTGTTTAGGAAACTCCAGAGGTATATTAATTTGAAGAAATGCCCAGAATACATGAAGTAGAAAAATAAGATACATGGGGACCAGCAGATGGCATAATGGTTACTTTGCTGAACTACCACGTAGTTGACTACGGTTCGAGTCCTAGACCCGGCAGCTCAAAACTCATGCAAGGCATGTGTGTGTGCATGCCCAAGATCCCAAGAGGAAAATGGAGGAGAAGGGATTGTGGTGAAGCCATCTCCTGGAGGGTGATTTCTCGCTTTCTGTCTTTTGGTCCCTCTCTGTCTCTCTGGCAGGGACATGTGCCCTATAGCAAAAATCTCTCAAAAGAGAAGGAAGGAAGGAAGGAAGGAAGAAAGAAAGAAAGAAAGACAGACAGACAGACAACTAAGATACAAAATGCAATGTAAAATGTATTAAAACCATATACCAACATGTTCACAATGCTTATTTCTAAATATAAGGTTTATACATGATCATAAAATTATATACTGAAGAGGTATTATTTACTGTCATTTGAGAAGTTATTTGTTAAAATATTCAGCTTATTGTTAAAAGTCCTGCTTTTTGAATTGTAAATAGGGTAAGTGACTGTTTAAGTAAAATTTGAAGTGAAATTATTGCTTACTTTTTTTTAAAAGATAGTGCTCCTACTTGACAGTTGAAAGGTTAGTTAGGTTGGTTAATTGCAGAGCTGATATTATCCAGCCACTTGGCTTCAGAGTCTGTGCTAGGAGCCACCACTCTGAGCAAACACACGATTGCTTTACTTTCACGATGTATTAATTACAACAATGTCTGAAAGTAACGTGTGAAATATGACTTATCCCTTCTTTGTTCTCTACTCCAGGAATAACCCCCCTTCCCTCTGTTGAGTAGAATAAAATTGCTTTTACTTTGCTTTTATAATTGGCAGCATCCAATTTTGTCACCTGCAAAGGCAAGTCAAATAATTGGACTGTTACTTACTGGCCCCCCAAAAGGGGCCACAGAATAAATAATATATGGAAATAAGGATTTGGACCAGCAGATGGCATAATGGTTATGTCAGACTCACTCGTAGTTGACTGTGGTTGGAGTTCTGGACTTGGCGGTTTAAAACACTGGGTGCGTGTACGTGCATGCCCAAAATCCCGAAAGGAAAATGGAGGAGAAGGAATTGCGGTGGCCATTGCCCCATTGTGGTGATTTCTTGCTTTCTGTCTCTCTCTGTTTCTCTCTGGTGAACGCATGCGCCTTATAGCAAAAATGGCTACATTGATGGAAACTGGAGAAAGGCTGCAATGAGATTCAGATAGAGGCCCTAGATGTATTCTGAATTTTTCTGAACATTTTACTTCTGATTTCTAAAAATTCAGTTTGAATTTTTTTTTTTTTTTTGAGAGGTTTTTGCTATAGGATGCATGCGCTCTCCAGAAAGGCAGAGAAAGACAGAGAGACAGAAAGTGAGAAATCACCTCCCAGAGGGGATGGCTACGCCACAATCCTTTCTCCTTTATTCTCCTGACAGAATCTTGGGCACGCATGCACACGCGCCCAGTGTGAGTTTAAGCCACCGGGTCCAGGATTCAAAACGCAGTCGACTACATGGGAGTCCAGCGACATAGTCATTACGCCAACTGCTGGTTTGCTTTTTTTCAAGTGTTTTTGTGATGGTTAAATAAGGGGCCAGCAGGCAATGTGTTGGTTAAGGCACTGGACCCCCACAAGGCTAACCACAGTTCGAGTCCTGGACCTGGTGGCTTGTTTTCTTACTTTCTCTCTCTCTGGTGAGCTCATGTACTCCATATCAAATTTTTTTAAAAAAATTATGAATAATGATAGGTAAAATTAAATAAATAACTTTCTAAAAAGTACTTTAATAAAACTTAGCCTTTGTAACCATCATTAAGTGTACGGTTTACCACTGTTGGGTGCATTTGCATCGTTGTGTGCCAGTCCTCAGGACTTCTTCCTCTTGCAAACCGAAATGCTATACCCATTAAGCAACTCCCCATTTCCTTCTCCTGATTTTTTTTTGAGTTTCTGAATGAACTTCTACTAGAGGATTTACACATAGCTTACTTTATTTATTTGTTTATCTTTTCATTCACTCATTCTGCAAATGCTGACGTGCCTACTAGCCCTATGGTTAGTAACCAAGGTGCCATGGCAACTCATCATAGAGGCAGACAAACCATGGGTCAGGACAGAGAGGAGTCTGGGACATGTGAGCAGGTGGGGCTGCTCTGGGACAACATCCGCAGGTCCTTGACTTGCTCACATTTAGATGTGCTGCTCTATAGCATCATAACATGGACCCAGATTCCATAATAAATCGAATATCTTAGCTATGGAAAGACTTTTGCTTTTGAACTTATTTTTAGGTTAGAGTGTATTATTTCTTTTTTGGAACTACTTTTTGT